AAGCGCAAGCGCTGGGGAATGGACTACCGTGCGATATAGCAAGCAACAAGCAACGCCTACAGCGACTAACGAGCCTAGGCCAGTCCCAACGAAGYCTACTAGCACCCGGAGCAAAGAGGAACGACGCCTAATCTTCTGGCGTGAGGAGCCTCTAGATACGCTTTATAGGGATACTCAGGATATCGTCTTAGAGCTCAACCGGGCGTTGAGCAACGTAGGCATACCCAACTTTGTGAGAGCGATTAATACTAGATACGCTGCTTCAGGGCACCTCACGGTGCTCCTCCAAGAGGGCACGCCCAGCAATGTGCTCGTGCCTGCCTATAACGATATACTTATCACCACTGTACGGARATRTGACCCAGCGGTCATCTCAGTGGAGATTAGTGAGCAATGGCAGCGTGTTAAGGTCCATGGAGTCCCYRTGCACCGCTATATGAACAGTGAGAACGGCCTAAGCCTAGCCCRGRAAGAGATAGAGCTCCAGGGGGTGTTTAGGCTCAAGCGGGACCCCGTCTGGTTGATAAACCCCAGAAAACTAAAGACTAGGAATCAACAAAGCGCTATTATAGTGGTCACCGTGGGCTCTGGAGAAGATGCCCGTAAGATGATCAAATTAGGCCTCTAATTCAGCACTCGGCGCCATACGACAGAGGCTTATAAGGAGATTAACCCCGAGAACGTATGCACTCGGTGTTGCAGAATAGGGCACTCTAACCATCTTAGGTGCAAAGGCCGACCCCCTAAGTGCTTGATCTGCACCAGGAACTATAAGACGCTAAGCCATGCCTACAACGTGATAGATTGTAGRGGTAGGCCCAGTAAARCGTGCCAACACTACCTAATCAAGTGCGCCAACTRCGGTGAGGCTCATGAGGCCTYATCCCCAAGATGCCCCTTGRTGAAGYAGGCGCGTAAACACACTCTCCAGCGTGTATGGGATCGCCATCTACAATACTAACTCCCAGCGGGTTAGCAGGTAGGCATAGTGGTGCYATTACCCCCAAAGCCCCAATCAGAGCCCCTGGAGGAGAGCTCTCTAGGCCTAGCACCAGTRGACACCCCAGGCCCAGAGCCAAATGATATTAAGCTAATAGACGCGGAAGCAACGCCTACAGCAGTTCCGGACTCGCCCCCGAGTCAGGGATCATGTTAGTGCTTCAACACAATTGTGCCTGCACCAGCACCATAGTCCATACGGCATTRGAGGCAGCGTTAGAGGCTGGTRCGGAGATAGCATGCCTCCAGGAGCCCCCAGTAGGTAAGCACGATATAAGCCACCCAGGCTTCTTATTTTACTGGCCAGAGGGCCCTAGAGAGCATGCCCGTGTGGTGACCGCRGTTAGGCGAGATATAGTGGTTAATGTGGTTATCGAAGCCCGAACAGACCTGGTAAACCACCCCTATTTTATAGCGGTGGATATCGTGGAGCAAGGCAGGCGTACCAGGGTGGTGA